TTTTTTTTTTCAGGGTCAATAAAAAAGCAATTTACAGAATGGCAAACAACATTGTGTAGCCAAGTAAACGTAATAAAGATCTGAATGGGCGATTAGATTAAATACCGATTAAAATTACGCTTCCGCAAAAGGTTACAACAGTTAGCAACCGGTAGACGCAATCGATATTGTGTAGGTATCTCGTCGATTTCTCTCAGTCATGCGAGGAAATACTTTCTTTCACTAGAGATGATCCCCCGTGATAATGTCACGTAAGAGGCGTCCTCGTAACACCAAACAATAGCGACGAGAGCCAATGAGCCAGGATTATTATTAATTGCTCGATCGAGTTCGTCAGAACGCAGACTTCCGTGACTCGATATATAAATAACGGAAGGGGGGGGGGGGAAGTAGTAGTAGAATCAATATAATAACCGACATTTCAATGAAAACCTGTGAAATCAAACGACGTTACCCGACGAATCTTGACGCGGGAAATTTAATCGGTGCGGAGGGTACAACGAGGTTATGCACGGGAGGGAGAATTTCGTTAAGGTCCGCGTTCTTACCATCGATAATTTCACGTTTGCGCGGGCAACAGAACTTGCCCGTTTTTAACCTAATCGGCGACATTAAAACGTCGCCCTAGCGGACGACGAGGCGGGACCGAAAATAAATAAAACGACTAGTCGGACCTAACCTAAACCTAGACGATCGGACTACAGTTTCCTTTAGAACAGCCCGTGTCGATCGATTCATTAACGAATAATACAATCTCTCGAATAACAATCTCGTGAAGAAGTCAACTCGATAACGAGGAATCACATATGCTCGTAAACAAGCCACTTTGCTTTTCAATTCTAATTCCTTATACGATTGAACACAAATTACGCATAATATTTGAATATTATCTTATCTGACACGACAGCGTCTCGCGGCAGTAAATACGCTCGCCTAAATAGCTATAATATATATACATAATATATGTATATATATATATATATGTACAGATACGCGGTGCGAGGGAATCAAGAAATTAACATCGATTACGGAAACGACGCAACGTCTGTTTGTTCCTGCCAATTGGAATCGGCCACACCGTTTTGGCAGTGTTTTCAACTCATATACATATTTTCGGCCGGCATTTCAAGTGGCACCGAACGAGCTACCCTGTCGGAATTGTAAATTGAGACGATCGTAAAGATTCATGAAGCGTCGTTAAATAACACTTATGTTAATGATCGCACGTGCACGTACGCGCATATACTACGACGCGGCGCAGAAAACGGTTTCAATCTGGTAGAAATGCGACGATTGTCGCGCGGCCGAAAGCACGTGGCTACGTGGCTAACAGCCAACGGTGTGAAAATCCCTTTCCAAGTCGAAAATTCCGACTATATTGAAACACTTGGCCTAACGCTCGATGCGTTATCGTTATCACCAAAAACAAAAAAAAAAGACGGTGAAATTATTTTCAAAAAGAAATT